ATAATAATAATAATAATAATAATAATAATAATAATAATAATAATAATAATAATAATAATAATAATAGACCTAACTTACACAAATGGGTATTGCAAGAATCCTCAGCTGCATCTATCTTAGTTTAGAGTTATCTGAAGTTTGCAGTCTTAAAATTGTTTGCTCACCTATAGTACGTGTTGAGCTCAAAACTGGTAAATTGAAATACTGTGAGAACAAGCATAACAGAGAAATGAGTATAAATAACAAGATACCTCTGTATGTCTGTTGATGAAATAGATGGAGGACTAGTTCTGTACTTCTTAATGAAACTTTCAGAATCACAATCAGCCCCAAGAAAAGTCAAAGAACGTGTCAGTCAGGATGTCACCGAGAATATTCCACCCAAGCATTTGTTTAAATTACTAGATCTGAGCTTGTACTCTTTATCACATACAAAACAATTCATTTTACCAACACAAATTTTAATAATTAAAGCACATGATTTATAAACAAGCCATTTTGTTACTTGTACTTTTAAATAACTGAAAATCACCCAAAGGGTCCAATAGGAGATCCCAAGTCATCTTCTTATTTTGGATTAAATCACCTCTATTCATCTATAGCTGAAACTCAAATAATTTTGTAGATACATTAACCACATCTATTTTGTTATAACTACACAGTGATTTAACTTGGTTTAGGCATTAAATGGAAGTGCAGTCATATTTTGTACTTCTGAAGTTACCCAGTGGGAGTCATGGGAATTTTAATGTATCTCCTTTGTTTCTATTTTCATTTTTATACATTGCAATCTGAAGAAAAAAATTACAAAAACTATTTTAATAATTTGGTTAATCCAAAGGAAAGTACCCATTTGAATAGCCTGACATGTGCACATATTTCAAAAATAACTCAATTTTAAAAAGCAACAACTATTTTTATAGCCTTTTACATGGCCTAGTTGCATTTATCTACTTTATTTTTGTCTTGTAACTTAATGTATTTTTTTTAATTAATGCTGCCTTAAACTTTTTC